AAGAAAATTATTATTGTTTAATCATACTTATTAGTTGATTTCCCTGTTTCTTTTCATATTTGTGTTACATAACATCATCTTATAGCAATTGTATCTTATTACTAACTACATTTTGACCTCTGGTCAGAAACAGTTCTGGGACCTTCCCCCCCCCTCCCCACTTCGCTATATAGTCACGAATTCCCAGTGATTCAATAAGTGATACCTACTTTATGTAGAGTCAAGAATCAAGTTTAACAAAGACACGAATGTTTTCATATGAACAGTTGGAACACAATCACTCAACTTTTTTTTATCATTTTCAATATATCAACCAATACTTACTTTACTTTACTTCGGCTATCTCCTACGGGAGGATGAGCCGGCTTCATGAACGTCTCGAATCATCGCTGCCCAGGCGCGGCAATTTGTAAGAGAGTTCATGAAGTTTCATGGGAATTTGGTACGAGTGATTTCCCCAGAATCGCTCGGCCTTTTGTTTGAGAGTGCAGCTCTAGCCTTTACACAACCAAGTGTGACCTACAAGGCAGTAGGAGTGGAGTAAGGAGTCCACTATCCATTGGCAGCCGATGACCGGAGTTCGGTTCATACGCCTTTTTGAATGGGGCCAGACATCCAGGACATCCAACAAGCCCTTTGTCCATACGTCTGACGGTGAGCTCCAGTGAGCTTCATACGCCAATCGTTGCAGGTTTGGAATCAGGGTTTAGCCATCTCCCCTAGACTGTCATCCAATGGACAGTCAACCCGGTGGAGAGCGCCAGGCATCCGCTTTCGCCCTCTCACTTTGGTGAGAAACACCTCCGCCACGTGAAGGCAGTGAGTAGGACTTCCTCAGGAGAGGCTATGTAAGACGCCCGGTCATATGGGAGCATTTCAAGAAGTGTATGGAGGGGTGGCCAACCCGCAGCGCAAGGCACCCACCCCCGACCATCCAATAAGAAACGTTAAACAGTTTCTTATGAAAGAGTATAACAGCCTAAAATCTATTCTCTTCAAATGTGTAAGGCCCCGTATACTAACTACCTGGTTTGGCTGACATTGAGTAGACTCCGGTCTTCCTCTTAGATAGGCAAATCCTATTCACTGACTAGGGGAGTTAGAAAACCCGTATTTCAAACCTGTGGTGCACGTGAGCTCCAGAATTCAGAAGGATCGAATGGCATATGAACCTGTTTTGGTTAGCGGGAACCATAGGAACGTAGCTACTGACGTTGCTTCATTACCTTGTGCATCAGATTTCACGTTAAACGCTCGAAGGGGTTGACCCTTCAGTCAAAACAACCATCTGCTTCGGTTTTGGCGTCCGAGCATCAACCCAACCGTCACACAAACAACTAACTATGCGATTTTGTGTGGCATATCACCCAGTGCCGATAATGTAACAAGTTTGTGTTTTAATCAATGAATAAATGGCTATTACAAAAAAGTAAAAGCGTTTACCGAAGTCGTCTCCTCAGGGATTTCACATTACCGGAATAGTATGTGTGTGTATTGCTTCTTCTTAGCATGACACTAGTGTGGTACTTAACAAAGCAATGTTTGTGTAATTGTAATGGATATCAAGTTTGAACGCAAAACCCTTAGTTTATAGGGATTAAATCAGAGATAGGCGTCGGTGGCACAGCGCTTAGGATGCTCGCCGACCATGCTGCCTGTCTCTGTCTGTCTGTTTTCGACATAGAACTTTGCACGAATGTGCGGAAGTTCAAGTCGCCACACTCAGCGTAGCACGCGAAGCAAGAGAAGAAAGTACAAGAAAAGCATAACCGAAACAGTGAGCAGAGGTGTGAGACAAAGGAGTAATAAAGAAATACAAAACAGTTTCATTGAAGATCATAAGTCACAAGGAGTGGATGCATCTGCGCCACTGAGAACGGTTTTGAGCCATGTCACCAATTGTTTCCAACCATAGATTTTTACCGTCCCGAGGACCCCAGCCTGGAAGTCTACACCTTCCCACGTGGCTTAGACCAACTGTTGTGGATTTCATTGACTGATGCCAAGTTTTTGTTTGACCGCCGCTAGCTTTTTTCCAGCCTGACCCTATTGTGGTGAGAGCAGGCTGCTAGCCGATTGGTTGACACTAATCTACGTTAATGTCTAGGTCACTAATATGGGCCGTGAGAAAATATGAACAAGGCTGTTTCAACAACCAATCACAGCAAACTTAAATGTGGACAAATATGATTCGCAGATAGATGGCTCTACTTTCCGAGAAATATCGAAAACAACCAATCATAAGACTGTGTTTGTCTGCTTAACTTCCGAGAAACAACCAATCAGAAGACTGCCTTTTTCTGCTTGCATAAGCCTTATTAATGCACAAAAAATATATATAAATACGTGTTGATTTTCGTAATAAAACGATCTGTTGCCAGTCCTTGTCTTCTGTTGTTACACTATATCCGCTTACATTGCTCGTCGAGGGAGGCGATGGCTTGGCATACGTAACACATGTCCTAACCATCTCAGTCGATGTAGCTTCACGACTTCGTCGATTGATTTCCCCTGTTTACCTAGAACTCTACGCCTAACCTCCATGTTGCTCACCTTATTATGCCACTTTACACGGGAAATAGAACGCAGGCACCTATGATCAAAGACAGCTAGTCTTTTCATGTCTTCCACTCTCAGTGGCCAGGTCTCACAACCATAAAGGAGGACGGAGCGGACTGATGAGCAGTACACCCGCCCTTTGGTCGATAGTCGAACATCTCGTCTACGCCAGAGTCGGCGTAAACTAACAAATGCGAAACGAGCCCCTTGTATTCGTGCTGAGATTTCGTCAGAGATCAGCCCGTTGGGGCTGATGGTACTTCCCAAATAAGTGAAGCGGTCAACGTGCTCTACCACTTCACTTCCTATTTTTAAACTAGGCGTCGATGTAGTCCAGTCCTGTAACATCATCTTGCATTTGGCGGGAGCGAATCGCATGCCAAACATTCGTAGATTGCGGCTCAAGGTGTTTAGAAGACTCTGCATTTCGTCAGCGTCTTCGCCTAGAAGGACTATATCGTCTGCATATTCCAAGTCAACGAGATTATTCCCGGTAGCAAGTCAATCCCTGAGTCGCTGAAGTCACCTAGGGTTAAGTCCATTAACACATCTATGATGAAGTTGAATAGAAAAGGAGATAATGGGCATCCTTGACGGACACCACTGGTCGTCATCAGTTCAGATGACAGCTCGCCGTAAGCCCTCACCTGGCTGTATGAGTACGAGTAGAGTGCCTTAATCAGTGCAATATATTTTCTTGGAATTCCCTTTACAGCCAAGCATCTCCAGAGAACTTCCCGATCGACAGAGTCGAATGCTGCCTTTAGGTCAAGAAATATAATGACTGTTGGACGCCGGTAGGAATGCCTATGTTCTAGAATCTGTCGGAGGGTGAAGATATGATCAATACACCCTCTTCCTGGTCTAAAGCCTGCCTGGCTCTCTCGTGTTTGTGCTTCCCGAGCACCACTCAGTCTACGCATGATTATTGAGCCTAAGACTTTAGATACTATATTAGTCAAGCTAATCCCTCTGTGATTATCACAGGAAGACTTGTCTCCCTTCTTGTATATGGGGATAATCAGTGACTTACACCAACCCGATGGGACTTCTTCTGATTCCCAGACGCTGCCTAGTACCTCAGTTAATCCGGACAGTAAGCTGTCTCCACCGTACTTAAATACCTCTGGAGTCATTCCATCAGGTCCCGCTGCTTTGCCTAGTTTCAGATTGGTGACAGCTTTAGTAACCTCAGTTAGTGACGGAGGACCTGTGTTTATATCCCATTCAGGGAGGTGTTGGATGCTCGGAAGGTTGAGCGTGGCTGTGGGCAAATTAAACTGCTCCTCATAATGCTCTTTCCAACGATCCAGTCGTCTATCCTGGGAGCTAATTATAGTGCCATTTTTTTCCGAGATTGTCTCACTGATGATTTGTCTTCTCCCACCCGTTTCCCTGATGAGTCCAAAGAGTTGCCTGGTGTTGCCTATCCTCGAAGCTTTCTCCATCTCTTTGGCTTTTGTCGCCCACCACTGTTCACGGTCCTTGCGGAGACTTTTCGTAAGTTTCCTCTTGTGCAGCTTTCGCTCCTCATTGAATTCGGAGCTCGCCGGAATAAGTCTTCTAGCATCTATCAGTTCGGATGAGGCGGTGGAGATCCAGTGGTTTTTACTCACCTTTGGGTTTACCTTATTCACAGCTTTTACAGCTGTATCTATGGCTGCCTGGATATTTTTCCAAGCTTCTTCAGGGTGAGCACAGCTGTCGAACACAGATATGTGTTTAGCTAGTTCTTCCTGAAATACGGATTTAGTTTCCTGATCGAGCTGGGGACGTGATGGTTTTACCGCCAGCTGTTTCCTACGTCCGTTCAGTCGTAAGCACACCCGAGCGCGGACCAGTGCATGGTCGGTATCTACGCACGTGTTCCAGAAGGAGCGACAATCTCCTACCGACCCACGCCAACGATAGCTTATTGCTATGTGGTCTATTTGTGTCCAGCGTTGGTTTGATGAAGGGGGTCTCCAAGTCAAACAGTGTCTCTCCTTGACCATGCACATGGTCTGGGGTTCGATCCCCGGCCGCCAACACACTCCTTTACCTCGCTTAGCCAGAAATAATGCTGGTAAAGAGGAAAGGTTGAGCATGAAGCTACCAACCTCATCCTGTAAAAATAAACACCACTGCTACAGAAACTTCAAGCCTCTAGCTTGAAGCCCTATGTTCCACTGGGAATGCGAAAAAGTCAGAGATACGTAATAATAATATGTCCCTCAGATGGAATTCAAAAAGGAAGCGATGAGTGGGTATACGGTGAGAGGGTGACATGAAGGAGATTGTGTGAGGAAGAGATGAGAAATTATGGCCAATTGTGTGGTTAGTCAGATGAAGAAGATGTCAGAAAATAGAAGAAAGTGTAGATGTGTTGTTGAAGCCCTATATTCCACTTGGAATACAAGGGAATAATAGTAATACATAGAATTACCTACAAAGACACTTACCTTATTTGATAATTTTATATCATAACTAGACGGTTGTTCTACAATAACCTTTTCATGTTGCTGTGTCATTGATGGTTGTGATATTGAGGACAGTGATGAAGATACAGAGGATTTGGTTAACATTGTCGATTGTTCATTAGGATTAATAGAAGTATTAATAGTGTTAATACAACAACCAGATGAAATTGTACATACAACAGACGACTGGATTGCTTTCAAATCTGGGACACATATATGACTAGAATTATTACTGTTATTATTATTATTATTATTATTGTTTGAAGGATTAGGATCAGATTGTTCCAAACGATTGACAACTAAAGTAACTACAGTATTTACAGGTTTACTTCGTAATAATGCAACTGTTTGTGCTTGACCAATTTCATTCACATAAATATCATCAACCTTAAATATTCAAAAAAAAGAAAGAAAAAAAGGAAATCGAATGTAATACAGACATGAGAGTATTGATATAAAAAATTGACACAATAACAAAGATAACAAGAACAATGTTTTGATTTTCCAATCGGTTGGCTGAGTTCTAAGAATCCTATCGAGTTGCTCAGGCTGGAGTAAGTGGAGCGGTAATCGAACCGCACTCGAAAGTCGAGTGCTTAAGCGAATGGGCCACATTTCTACAAACATTATCGGGGTTTGGACGCATGAATATGGCACACAACACTCCTCGAACCCTGCACAAAAGCGTAAGGTCGCCTATTGTCCCATTATTCTCGGGCAGATCGGGCAACATAAAGTCACAACTAGAACACCACAACAAAATTTAACTATTTGAAGAGCGAATTCAATCGTCTGTACTCTACTAAACACGTAAAAATTGACAAGCCTGTCTCTTCCTCCCGCCAACCTGAAAAATAAATATCGACAGATAAAATTCAACTTGATCAGCAACTTTAAGATAGCAGTAGTCCATCGGGTGTATGAATTAAGGCAGTCAAATCAGCAAACTACCATCACATGTATTCACCTACTGATATTTAAAGTACCATCTACAATCGAAGCACAAACATTAGGTCAACTAAAAAACTATCGGGCTTCAGATATGCTCATAAATCAGTCGGTAAGACGTTCTTTGCTGAGAAACTAAAAATGATCTTTACTAGCCGTAAGTTGTTCTCCATGTCTTTAAAAGATAAGTCCCCTAGTCTGACCGCCTTCATTTGCATCTATTACTTCACCTGCTCTTGTGGGGCGATGTACATTGGCTGTAGCCAGAGAATGCTTTCCACATGGATACGAGAAAATATTCCAACAAAAGAGAAAGGAAGGATGCACAAAGCTCTATACTACAACACTTGATGGAATTCTCCCACTCTACCAACCATCACCATGATTTTAATATCATGTGTCGAATTCATGCTAACGTGTGACATTTTCTTCGCTCTAAACTTCCAGAAACAGAGGAGAAACTTTGGCCATTCATGAATTCCAGCTAGACCATTTTGTACAAAAAAAGTATGTACAATCCCTCTTTCTACCTTAGCCGTAGGGGGATAAACGTTTATTTATTCATTTTGTAAATCTAGGTACCATTATCTCATTTTTACGATTATTATTACCATTCACAATTTAAACGGTTTCCGGTATTATTATTTCACTTATCCCACTAGTCAGTCTATATCAAAATCACATACAGCCGGTTCCCTTTATTTGTTTGAACAAGAAAAGAACGAACATATTTACAGGACCATTTTGGACTTAAACCAAAGATTGTTATCCTCATCTATAGGTTTCAAATCTGATAGTTGGTCGTATAAATACCCAAACTGTGTTTCTGTATGAATTCCGATGATAAACGAGTTGGTTACGTGACATTTGAATCATAGAGACAGAGATTCAGTTTCGACTTGGTTCAAGTTAACCTCCGATAAATTGTTTATATTTATTTTTCTGGGGACTGTGGAAATTCTTCATGTAGCTGGTCCACTACTAAGGATTTCCTGAGCTTCTTTCTATGGGAATTCGTGATTTGTAGTTGTAAGTCTTGCATGAAGTTAATAAACTTTATCCGACTCACCAAATTGAGACTTTCTAGTAGACTATCGATTTCGACTAGATCTGACATCAAGGTGTTGTTGTATTTCTGAGATGAATCAGTATGCAATATGGTGATGCGACGCAGATTCTTTTTAGTTGGAGGTACTTCTATCTATCTGACAAGTTTCAGGAATTGACGTAGACAATAACTTGACTCGAGAGACTCCTCATAGAGCCTTATCCTCGACATTTCTCTCGCTATTCTGCAACGTAACGTCACTAATTGATTTAGTGACTTGATTGATTTTCTAACAACTACAGGTCGCGAATGCATATAGAAAGAAGCTCAGAAAATCCTTAGTAGTGGACCAGCTACATGAAGAATTTCCATAGTCCCCGGAAAAATAAATATGTACAAATTATCGGAAGTGAAGCTAAACCAAGTGGAAACTGGAGCTCTGTCTCTAGGATTCAAATATCACGTAACAAACTCGTTTATCAGCGGAATTCATACAGAAAGGCAGGTTGAGTATTTATACGACCAACTATCAGACTTGAAACCTATAGATGAGAATAAAAAAGTTTGGTTTCAATCCTAAATGGTTCTTTTAGCATGTTCGTTCTTTCCTTATTTAAATCAAAATCATTTTGCAAATTTCATACCATGTTATGTAACTTCTTATATTTGCTTACTAATCTTAAAAGTTTACACAACCTTTCAAAATCCTATAGAATATTCCAGGTATGACATTATTGGTTTTACTACTTGACGCTTGATATTTGTAACTATCTTCAGAGGCTATACAATTGGACTTATATTTACCAAAAGTGTATAGTAGTCTATGGCTAAGCTACGTATCAATTTCTACAGCCGACAAATGATCAATGGATGTGTGAAGGATAAACTGCTGCTTTTGGCCACCTCAGTGTGTGTGTTTATAAATTCACCTGCTCGTGTGCACCTAGTTATATTGACCGCACAAAGTGCACACTTTCCAAACGCATCTCTGAACATTATCCAACATGGTTAGCGCAAAAGGACAATGCAAGACAATTACTAGCTCAATTCTCGAGCACCTGGTGAACTCAGGCCACCTAGCTCCACCAGAATCATTTTTCAAGACCATCTACAAGGTGAGGCCACATTTATTTATTTTATTATTTATTTTTGGTTACAGCTTGATTCCATACCGTATTTTTGGTACAAGTATGGAATTTTCAGCGTGGATATCGGTAGCCCAAATTTCTCAGGCCGACCATAGATATCAGGTGTGCGTCGGCGTGGGCTCGAACCCCGGACCATATGCATGGTCAGCGACAGTCCTAACCAGTGTGCCACCGACGCACATGGTACAGAGGGAGTCAGGTTTCGGCATTTGTGTACAGCGGAGGCGCTGGCAATTCGTCAGTACAACCCCAAACTCTGTATGCAGAAAAAGTTTGCCTAGTCTCTTATTCTACCTTGGTTTTAACCTCTTCACTAGGCGTTCCCTGTAAAAGGTTTTGATTTCTTTTTCTTTCCTTTTTTAATTTTCAATTTTACTTTTAGTTTACTTTTGCTTTAATAATTAATTCACTATTACTACTCTCATATGTTTCTTTTGTATATCTTCACACCCTCTTCACACTTGTTAGATTGACACTCAACTACCTGTATTCTCACTCAATAACAATTTTAACCTTATCAAATTTCTATCTTTGTGCCGTTGAGTACCATGTAATTTACAACTTTTATTTTTTACTTCTAAAGCTACTTCCGAGTAATTATATCAATTATTTCACCCCCTATAACTCAATAATAGACTACTGAAGATTTTTGGTAAATATAAATACGACTGTACAGCCTGTGAAGATGATTTCGTCGATAAAGAAAATTTTCTTCGCAGAATTTGTCTTTTATTTTCTTCATGACTCAATGGGCATTTTTGGTGATTTATAACTATGATTATAATCACAAATATTTTAATTGCATTTCATACTACTACTATTATTATTATTATTTTATGTATTCCCACCTTTAGTTTAAATTTCCTCACAGGGATATGCTCTCTTAAAAGCCACCTATATAAAATTGTACAGCTTGTTAATAAATTCGTTGAAAAGAGTCCCTTTGGTACATAATATATTGTGTTCTTAACACTATCAATGTTATATTTTTTTTAAAAAATCTAAAGTAATCACATTTCGTAGAACTTTTTGAAAAAAACAAACAAACTTAAAATCTACCTTGACTAAAATATCACCAGGCTTCAAGTGGCCATCAGTTAAGGCTGCACCACCAGGAAGTATATTTTTAACACAGATAATTTTTTGATTCGATGTAGCAGTAGTAGTATCATTCGACGACGAAGTTACCTCACGACTGGTCAAACTGAAGCCAAGACCATTCGACCCTGAAATAGAAATATTTTAGAGAAATAAAATAGAAGAGAGAGAAATAAAATAGAAGAGAGAAAAATAAATTATTCAAGTGTTGGTTTGTAGGGATTTGATTGGTTACAGGATTTCATTATACGCTGACATTAGTTAGAGAACCATTGGAAAACCTGCAGGGAGTACTGGACAGCTGTTTCGTCCTAGTTTGAGACTCTTCATCAGTACGCAACCACCGGGGTTCGAACCCCGGACCTTCTGGTTACAAGGCGAGCTAGCTCGTAGACCATTAAGCCAATGGGACCCGATCCAATGACCAGCCCATGAATTCTAACTTCTGCCAATTCCCAACATAGCGCGACCCCTAGCCAATTTCTTCGGTGAGTAATTTTGTCCTCACACCCGACCTGCTGCACCCTACTGGGCACGATCTACCTGAATAGGGCAAGCCGCTAGTGAGCATCTCATTGATGCCTAAGCATAAGAATGAAAAATGTTCATGAAAGTGAAACAAAAAATACATAATAATAATAAACACGGCTAGGTTTTGGTCAATTCATAAAGACTTTCTGTATTCAATGGATTGACATTTCCATGCATAAAGTTTACCGAAAGATCACCCATATTAAAGCAAATGCATCTATCTATCCATCTATCTACGTTGCCAAAATATAAGGAGCTACACTACAACATTCAAGTGATAATCTGATTTCAGATTTCACCTTCAATCATTTTAAATGACATATACCAGTTTATCAGTGTTTGGCTTTTTGTAGATTACTTCATGGACACCTGGGATGATCAGATAAAAAAAAAGACTAATACCTTCTTCAGGTTATTTTTCTATATGTAACAAAATTAGGCAAGCTATTTTAAGTAGGTCAGTAGTAGTGTAAATTTAGAAGAAAAAAGGAAATCTTATTGTTTACCTGCTTCTCTATACAAAATATACGTGGGGTTGAAAAAAACAATAACTGAACATGAAATGGTGTAGTAGCTTATTATGCAATAACGCAGCATTAAGCCTTTAAAAAACTGAAAGAGAAATAGGCAAGCTATATGCAACATTATTATCGACAAAGGCTGATTTATGATGCAAAATAATGCTCGAAGAATTTGGACCCATCTAACAGCTGGTGAAGATAACAACTATATAAGTACAAGTACACAATTGATTGATATGAGTAGTTATATACCCCTTAGCTGGGTACACTGCTGATGAGCTCGACTCCAAACGAGTATAACGGCTGTCCGGTGTATAGGTCACTACAATCTGCCTAGCAAGCACTACTGACCAATATGAGTGGCATACAACTACTCATTCTAGTCAATCAGTAGTATACAGTTTTATGCAAATATACTAGCTTTTTTGGTTACCATTTATGATATGAAGGAGATCACATGCTGTAATCTGAGTAATTTGGCTAATAAAGGAAGCTATGGTGAAGTTTCACCTCCTTGAACTGTGTACATTGCAAATTGTGCATTTGATTTATATATAACCAAGTGTTCGTCAACGCTGTAAATGGTCCGGATTTGATTTCCGGTCAACGTGTTCATAAACAGCCACTAGCTCTTTTCCAACCTGATTCTATGTCAGTCAGCTAACATTGTCCGTCGAGGAAGGCGATGGCCAGGCATGCGCATCACATGTCCTAACCATCTCACTTAATCGATGTAACTTCACAGCCTCATCTATTGATTTTCCCTCCTTATCTAGCATTCGGAGCCTCAGCTTAATATTGCTCACCCTATTGTACAAATTAACACGGGAAATAGAACGTAGACACCTATGGTCAAAGACAGCTAGCCAGCCATTTCATGTCTTCCACTCTCAGTGGCCACGTCTCACTCACAGCCACAAAGGAGGACAAGGAGAACTGCTGCACAGTACAAACGCCTTTCGATCGACAGCCAGCCAGATATCACATCTACGCAAGAGGTGGCGTAAACTGGCATATAAGAAACTAGCTTTCTGTATCCATGCTGAGATTGCGCAGGCGATTAATCCACTGGCACTGGCTGATGCAACTTCCCAAATTAGTGAAGTGATCAACAAGCCCTACCACTTCACTCCTTATTTCTAAGCTAGGAATCAATGTAATCCAGTTCTGTAGCATTATCTTACATTTGACAGAGGGATCGAATCGCATGCCAAACATTCGTAGATTGCAGCTAAAAGTGTTCAAAAGACTGCATTTTGTAAGAGTCTTCATCTAGAAGGACTTTATCATCTGCATATTCTGATTCAATGAGATTATCCCTGATGGTAACATATCAATCCCTGAGTCGCTGAAGTCAGTTAGGGTTAAGTTAATTATTACAACATCTATGGTGAAATTAAGCGAAAATGGGGACATTGGTGGGCACTCATGACGGACATCACTAGTTGTCACCAATTTAGATGACAACTCTCCATAAGTTGTCACCTGGTTGTCTGCATGAATTCGAGTAGTGTGCCTTTATCAGTGCGATGGATTTTCTCGTCATTTTCTTTACAACCAAACATCGCCATAGTACCTCTCGGTCGAGGGATATGACGATTGTTGGAAACCGGTAAGTATGCCTGTTCCAGAATCTGTAGAAGGATAGACATATGGTCTATACACCCTTTTCCTGCTCTAAACCTGTTCTCTTGTGTTTGCTCCTCCCGAGCATTACCTAGTCTACGCACGACTATTGAGCCTAGAACTTTAGATACCATATTAGTTAAGCTAATCCCCCGGTGGTTATGACAAGAAGACTTGTCTCTCTTCTTGTATATCAGGATAATCGATGGCCTAGTCGGTAGAAAACCTGGAAAACAGGTAAGACCGGATGTGTGGTTAGGAACCCCATCACGACTAAAACTTCAAAGCTCAAGATCGAACCCTTTTACATCCCACTCGAAACACAAAAGAAATGAAATAAAGGAAGAAAAACAAAATACAGGGTTTAGATTATTGCTCCAATCTAGGAAAATTGGTGTAAAAGTTCAAACATGTGATTCCATAGGTCGAAAATCAAATAGTCTAGATCATTGAAAACCAAAATTCAGAATTCTTTTCTATACTAAATACGTTTCACTAAGAAATGAAGTTACACCAACTGAAGTTCTTCTCTGAGAGCTGTCATCCCCAAAACTGATGAAGCACCAGTACATTGATCCATATTATTTTATTTCAAGTTGGAATTCATAGGCGATTGGATTCCAGTTCAAGTAGCCGAATGGTCAACGAGCTTATCCACGTAACTTGAAGGTTCTGGGTCATAGGTGCGCATTGCTGAAGAGTCTCACAGTACAAGAAAAACAACATTTGTCAAGTACACCCTAATTTCCAATGGTCCCCTAACTGACATCAATCCATGATTACGCTTTAAGTCTAGTTACAGTAGGTATATTAGGGCATATTAGACAGACCAATTTTTAACTAATAGTATTCATTAAATACTATGCCTATAAATAGACATCACATAGCTTGAAAACATAAAAAAGAATTACATTGTATCTTTAAAATGCGAAGAGGAAGTTGTCTGTGGTCAGAGAAGGAGTGAAACAAAGACTTATGAAATTTAAAAAAAAAATTATATTTTTAAGTAAAAGTTATCAACAAAGAAGATGAAACAGAAGTATACCAGATCTCTATTATATTACTTATTTTTGTCTGAAAGAAACAAACCAGCTTATTACTCATTAAAAAGATAATAGAAAGACTGTCAAAGGAAATGTTATATATACATACATATACACTACTATGTATTTTTTACTATATAAGAATGACAAAATGAAAACATCTTATACTATCAGAACACGATTTCATAGTGTATTTTGTCTAACAACAGTTTATGCAATCTTCATCATTTGTCGCAAAAAGCTTCAAAATTATTAAGTGCAATGACGATGATTCAGAAAATAGACAGATAGACAGGCGGACAGACGAATGGATGGATGGATAAACAGACAGACTAATAATCACACAAAGCGTCATTTTTGCTTTGCTAACACACAGAAACAGAAAGTGAAAACAGATAGAAAGGTGAGGTGAACTACAACCGAAGCTTACGCAACAGTACGTGCTTCTAACTAAGTGAGTCGCAGCGTAGAACTTTAAACAGAAGAAAGACAATTTAAGTTGCTACATTTCATGTGGCATATAAGGGTAGAGGAAGAGAGAGATTCAAAAGAACTGTTCGAAGCAGAAGTGTGAAGGGTGAAGAATCGTAATATGGAAAAGCATGAGGGTATAATGCATACGACATCGCAAAGAGTGGGTACATTTTCACCATTAGGAAAAGTTTTGATTTAAATCATTAACAATCTCAAGCCATTTAGTTCTTAGAATCCCTAGGACCTCAACCAGGCAGTATAGACATCAATATGTAACTCGAACTAACACGGCATAGACTTCATGGACTGAAGCCAAGTTGTGGTTTGATCACGCCTAACTCTTTCCTAACCCAGCTGTATGTTAGCTAACACTGCTCGCCAGGTAACGCAGTCACTGGGCATGCGGTACACATATCTAACATTTCAATCAACGTAGCTCTACAACCTTATCGACTAACTTGCCCTCTTTATCTTGCATTCTGAGCTTAACCTCAGTATTACTCCCCATTTATACCACTTAACAAGGGAGACAGAACGTAAACATCTGTGGTAAAAGAGAGCCAGCTATTTGACAACTACTATTAATGACCATGTCTCAAAGTCATATAAGAGGATGAAGAGAACTGCTGCACACTACAAACGTTCTTTCATTGATAGCTAGTCGGATATCACATCTATATCAGAGATGATGTAAGTCAGCAAATACCACACGAGCCTTCTCTATCTGTGCTGAGATGTCGTCAACAATCAGTCCATTGAGGCTGGTGTACCTTCCCAAATAAATGAAGCGGTCCATACGCTCTACCACTTTACTTGCTACGTTTAAGCTGGGAGTCAGCAAAATCCAGTCCTGTAGCATCATCTTACATTTGACATGAGTGAATCGCATGCCAAACATTCGAAGATTAATGTTCATGGTGTTCAGGGGACTTTGCATTTTATCAGCATCTTAACCTAGAATGACAATATCATCCACACGGTTCAAGTGAAAAAATTGTTCTCTGGTAACAAGTCAATCCCTTAGCCTCAAAAGTCAGTTAAGTCCAATTCAATTTGTGCATTTATGGTGAAATTAAACAAAAATGGGGACAGAGGAGGGGGGCATTCCAGGCGGACACCACTGCTTGTCATTACTTAAGACTTTTAGTATGACTTTCTGTCAACTAATCTATGAGACCCACCAGCTACGTGTCGAAGAGAGAATGAATAAAAAGTAACTTGTGATACTTGATCTTAAACGACACTACTTATCGATTCCAGTCATTACAAACAGATCCCAACTAACGGAAACACTGAAATCAAGACTCACTAGATGGCTGTTATGCTTCGATTTCAAATCCTTCTTCAGTGTAAACCTACGATTGGTACAAAGCAATGAAGTTCCGCGCCACTATCACACGCTCAATATGATCCAAATTAACTGACTGCTAACTTCCTACACTCTCTTTAGAAAATTAGCAACTTTATCTCAAAGGCAGTTACACCTGTACATGTCGTCGATCGACAGTGTGAAAACTATCTTAAGATTTGCATTACTTATCAAATTTTTTTATTTCTTTGCGTTCCCAGTGGAACATAGGGCATCTTCAAGCTACAGGTTTGAAGTTTCTGTAGCAGTGGTGATTATGTTTACGGGAAGGGGTTGCTAGCCTCATGCCCAACCTACCCTTTTTACCAGTCTTATTATTGGCTTAGCGACGTAAAGCAGTCAGTCGGCCGGGGATCGAACCCTGGACCACGTGAGGCGTGGTTGGCGAGCACTCTACCACCATGCCACCGACGCATTAATTATTAATAGCGCCTGTGTTATCGAGACTGCAACCAACTACGAAACAAAGAATGCATCGATATAAATGCAATACAATAAAGTTTTTTTTATTCTGGAAATCTACATTACCTTTACATAATTGAATTGTATGAGTGCTGAACTGAGGATTATTCTCATTTTGTGAACTATTCACAGACTTTATTGACTTTTCAACAGGATGATTTGATGACTGAGTACTGTTCAGCGGAGTGTGTTGATGATGTGTTGTTGTTGCTGCTGCCGCCGTCGCTGCCACTGCTTTTTGTTCTTCTCTTTGTTTTTTCTCTTGTAAAAATTCATCTATCAATGGTTTAATAATCCCTTCTGGAATACGTGTCAACACAGTGTTGGGTGAACGACGAGGTGGAGGCGGTGGGACTGGTTTTAATTGACTTACAACAACACTAGATTTTGCTTCACATTCTTTACCTTTCGAAGTAGGATCACTAACAACAAAAATTAAACCACATGAAGGTTTATCAGATTTCTCTGTATTCTTTTGAATACTTTCATGACTTTGTATAGACATTGTAGGACTATCATAGTGGTAAGCAGAACGTGGAAGTACACGAAGTATTATTTCTGGTTCATTTAAAGCAGCTTGAAATATATCACGACCTCTAAAAAAGAGAAATAGAATGAAAGTGTATTATCAAAAGATTAGAATATTATCTGAACTGATGATAAGGAAAAGAGTAATTCTTTACTTTGAGTGTCTTCTTTGCAAACTTATTAGTACTGTACCCAGGGATAATATCTGGCTATTCCCCATCCACAGAATATGGAATGTGGTTTGAAGATTTGACTCACTAATTAAAATTTGATATGAAGATTGAATATGAACTAACTTCAGTTAGAGAACCTTTGAAAACCAGGGCGCAATGGACATCTGTTTCGTCCAATTTCGGAAGTCGTCAGTAGAATATATCCATGACCCCACCAGGGATCAAATCCAAGACCTTCAGGTTACGAGAGGTTAAAATTTATAGGCCACTGAATTCTCTCCCATGAGTGATTGGTCAACAGTTTCATCAAGCGCAGGTGGGGTCATGAGTGTGTACTGTTGAAGAGTCCCAAACTAGGACGAAGAAGCTATCCAGTATTTTTTGATCTTCAACTGGTCTTCTAACTGAATTCATTTCGCAATCAATCTTGAAGTCAAAACGGGTCCTGGAAACCAACACTGAAAATTTGACAATCATATCCAGCGACGAACAGCTTGACAGCCTTTTCTATAATTTATTATATGTATATGCATTGCAAAACATAAATAACAAGTATCTAAACTGAAGTAACTCATCTTCCTATTCTAAATGGTATTTGAATATTCCTCGTCCACACTAAGCTACAGTTTTATAAGAATTGAGATGTAAGTCAGCATAAAGAATATCTAATACAGTCATGTAAAGCAGTCATCAATAACTAGTCATTGATTCAGCAACTGAGTGACAACACATACAATGATGACTACTAGCAGAAGGTTTAAATTCTGCAGATGTGAATCAGTAGTTCGATTTCATAGATTTTCACGAAACAATGATGATTTTCCGAAGCAAATAGTTATAAGGTCACCACTAATTATTTGATATTTATCTTAGTAGATCTATAGCTAACACACAGGGAAAAATCGAGCAGAAATCATAACTTGATCACCTCGTTGCAATTTCGTTCTGAGCTATTCTTGTTTTTAATATGCAATATACGCCCAATCAGTTTTTCCAGTAAGAATAACACAGTAAAATAAATCCTACCCTTAAACAATTTCAATCGTAATATATGAATATAAATCACATTATTACTGTGGGGAATAACATAGAAATAAACGTCAAGTTTATAGCTCAGGGATTTTTTTTCATCGTGACAAAAACGAGGATTTATCACATTGTTCGTGAAGAATAAGATAACAAAGTTGTCTCCGTTATATTTTCGAGTGTCTATGGGAGTTTGTGTTACTTGTCTGATTGATTTCTCGAAGTACCTGAAAAAGAAGCAGCCTAGCGGGGGGGGGGGGGTAAATGATTAAGGCCAGTCGCATATTGCCTATTTGAAGCGGTTTTTGAAGGTTTTTACGTATTAAAATATTACTACCGGCTAGGGACCTCCCCAAGGTAAGTCAAGATGGGCAGTTATTGGTGTCAACGTTCTCTACCCTTTCCCTTTCTCCACAGCAGAGGTAACATATCTTACTAGCTGGCCATCTTAAAGAAATAACCTACTGCTGCTATTTTCCTGTTCGCCAGTAGTACGACTTCGCCAACAGATCCACAACATGATAGCAACTGCTTTTTGTCTAACCATTATCCCAACGACTTTTCCGACAGGGTAAGACCTCCAAAACCACTAGTTGCAGCCAGTGTAGCACCCACTGGGTGTCACTGAGACATGCAAGTCTGATCAACATAGCAGCTATCATTCTGGTTAGTAGAACTTAACAACCACTTGCGTTTATACACAGTTGGTAATAAGACACGCCTATTGTGTAAGGGCTAATGATGCTAACTGGCTACCCAGACCTCGGTACGTGGAGCAGGATTTAAACCCATGACCCAGTAATTTGATAGTCAAGCACCTAGACCAGTCCGTTATGGTCTCCATATTCCAACTTGTACTTGTAAATCCGAAAGATAACTGCAACTAAAAGCTGCATTCTTTTTGTGGTTGTTCTACACATAAAACACTAGTCAACGAGGAATACACTATGTGTAAAGCTATTATTCACACCGATCATGTGCCAGTTAAAGATATTATTCATAGGAGCTAAACAAAACTGAAGTACATTAATGTATGAACCAAATACCATACAAATGAAAATAAAAAACACATTCCCATACGTAAACGTATACCTAAAATGCAGTCAAACGTAGAAATGAACAATACTTCTTTAATCATCATAGCATATGGTTAGCCTATTAATTATGGCTGTACACAAACCAATACACAAAGATCCATTGCAGGAAAACTATTTCATTTATCGAAAAAGAAAAACTTGGATTATTCTTATTTAAAAGGTAGAAAAAATTACCGATAATCAATCGGTATACAAAAAAAAATAAGCACAAACTAACCTTTCAAATGGTATTCCACTTAACGAAATTCCATTAATGCTTAAGATACGATCACCGACGGAGAGACATTGTTCACGAGCTACACGTCCATTTGGTAAAACATTGTGTACTTCAAGACCACATTCACTTGAATATATATATAAACATAGAAAAATTAACTGGTAAATATCAAGTTATGTTGACAGGTTTAGTTATTTCACTCAGAATAACCTACTACGATATATACTACAGTGACAAGTGCCAGGAGTCACAAATCACTTAAGGCAGCCTTTTGTGAAGTTCCCATGGATAACATGAAGTTCTTTACGCTTCCAGATACACCTTATTGTGACGGTTTTGTTAGCAAGGATTCCTGACGATTGTACTGGTGTTATTATTTGTCAAAGTCAATTTTGTTTATCTCATTGGTTGATTAGATAGAAATGTTCAGCACCTATTGACACATCAACTTCTCATAAGGGACACTTTCGACGATGTCTGAAGAATAACATGTCATTTGGTGGACTGTGTGTGTGACTGGAAATGGAATCTAGGAAGTGCACTTTATCCTACCTGGGATTCGTCAGCAAAGTGCACAAGAGGTGGCTCTCATGCCTCAAATGGTTTGGCGGATAACTTTCTGGTGTGTGAAACGATGGGTGCCGGGTTTGAATTTCAGCAGCTGCACTATTACTCACTAGGAATTGTAGATACATCCAACTGGCGAGCCCTGAATAGGACGAAGTGCGTTTCCTAGATTCCACTGCTAGTCACCATTCACCCATAAATATCATGTACTGGTTCTTAGATGTGTTCATAAACACAGTTAACCACTATGGTCCAAAATTTAGAACTACACAACTTCCTTGATTGTAATCCCATAAACTTCAACACAGCAACCCGTCGTAAATTTATTCCCAAAAACATTAGGTAACAAGATCAATTAAATATTATTATTTCCCCGTAATCAGAATAAATGACATTTTGTCTTCAATGTTCAATAAAACTTGACATTTATTTTTTTTCCCAGTGAACATCAAAGAAAAAAGAAAAAATCTCCGGACATAATTTTTACTAACTATGCATGGGAAAATAGTAATTCAAAGTTATGACCACTGAGAAAAAAAAACCCACTATGCTTATGATTTCCATCAAAGTAATAATAATAATATTTATGTGATTATAATTAATAATACTGCAACTTTACAGAATACAACAGATTAGCTTTCACAAATAAAACTTGGATGAATTGTATTCATCAAACAAGATGAGAAAGTTAAATGTCGTATGCGTTTAAGGCCGAAAAATTCGCTCAATAATAATAAAGAATTTTATTACATATGATGTGAGTGATGCAGTGAACACAATAATATATGCTACTGTTGTATGACGTTCAATTATACTGTTGAGTTTCCCAAACATTTATATGTGAAAGTGAGGCTAAAACGGGTGACTCACTGATCGAAAGACAACTAACTTCAACACTATAGAGTGTCCCAAACCTTTATCAACCTGATTCAACAGTTATATGACAACGCCGCATGTTAAGTGGTGCACAACGCAAAGGTTACCGAAGCTTTTGAAGTGAACACAAGAGTCAGCCAAGGCTGCCTACCATCACTAATAATATTGCAGATAGTGGTGAACTGGATAATGCAGTAGAACGTGGAAAGCTAAAAGACAGGAATATGTTGTACCGATAAAAAGACCCTAGAAAATCTGGATTTCGTGGATGATTTATGTCTAATGTCACACAAAATTGAAAACCTAAAGACCTAAAAGACCAACAAACTGGCAGAAGAAGCAGTGAAAACAGGGCTTCAAGTAAACATAGAGAAGACGGAGGTCCTGAAGATAACCATCTGTCTGTCTGTCTGTCTGGATTCAACATAGAACTTGGCACCGAAGTGCACCAGTTCCAGTTGCCACGTTCCAAATAGCACACAAAAGCAGACAAGAAGATGAGTGGAGAGAATCAATATAGTTTGACAAGTATAAGAGCGAAACAGAATGGGTAATGGTAGAAAGAAATATGAAAGATTACAGAGACTGAATACATCTGCGCTGGCCATTGACAACGATTTTGACCCATGTCACCTATTGTCTCCAGCCATTGATTCCTAGAGTCCCGAGGGCCCCAACCCGGAAGTCTGCTTCTCCCTACCTGACTCAGTTTAACTGTCAAGGATTTCATGGATTGATGAGGCCATGTTTTTATTTGGCCACCACTTACCCTTTTCCAACCTGCACCTATATCAGCTAGTAATGCCCGTCGGGGGAGGCGATGGTTAGGCATGCGCAGCACGTGACCTAGCCATCTCAATCTGTGTAACTTTATAACCTCGTCGATTGATTTTCCCTGTTTCCCCAACACTCTACGCCTAACGTCAGCATTACTTAGCTTATTACACTTATTACACAATGTAATGAGAAAATTATTATCAGTTGCTTCTTAAGAATTAATGAATCGATAATTAAATTGTAGTCAATTTTTATCTTATATCATGTCGTTATTCTTTTTGCCACATTTCGTATTTTAAAGATAACCAACTAACAACAACAAGATCCAATCACCAATTACGGAAGACATTTGAATGAGTTTACTTCTTACACTTATCTATCCAGCATCGTTTCAACCACGAGCAAAACGGATGAGGATGTCAAAGGTAAGATCAGAAAAGCATGACACACGCTTAAGAGACCGGAGTGGCATAGCATGCCAGGCCCTCAAGTGGAAGCCGAACGGGAGATGAGCTGGATGTTTGAGAGTGATACAGAACAGATCGTGTGTGGAGGAGATGGTAGCTTAAGAGTAATCGTAGAGCCAGCTAAAGCAAACTGTAGAGAACAGGATGAAGTGGAGATGTACTACTGGAAGCCCTGTTCCACTTAAAACCCAAGGAAATAATCAATAAATAAATATACATTCTTGATATTACAGAGTTATTTAGAACTCAGTTATCCAAAAGAGATTTAGCACGTACCAGTGTATATAAACGATACACTTATTGTATGAGGGATGATGAGACTAATGAGGTTAAAAAGTGTGGAAAGATTCGAACCCAGAACACATTAACCCAAAAGTCTAGTGCTTAGGCCAATGTCAAATCTCTACTGAAATTATAAAACTTAGACGAAGAGAAATTGCAGAAAAACAACTTGGATAAGTCATTTTATTAGGTGAGCCGGACTACAACAATAAAACAAACTAGCTCTGTGTGCATGAAAGAAACTACTAAATCATCCCTGGGAATCTCAGAAATCTCAGTCGAATGAATTAATCTATCTAGATAGTAATAATAGTAATTATTATCAGCAATAATAAAGTCCCAGTGGCTGAATGGTTAACGAGCTTGTTTCGTAACCTAAAGACCCTAGGTTCAATCCCCGGTAGGGTCATGGGTGCCATTGAGTCGTAAACTGCAGCCAAACAGCTATCTAATAACTCCCTGGCTTTCAGTCCCATAAAAGACCTGATACAGCCGAGGGTGAACAGACTCCGGTCTTCCACTCAAAACGCGAAGATAGCCTCCGCCACGTAAGTCCTAGTCATTGCCTCCATGCGACACAGATAGTCATCACAAAAGTGGAAGGGCGAATGAGAAAGACTGAAGCTTACAATCGGACCGGTTGACACATAGGTCTATCTAGAGGAGTTGGAAAACCCTGATTCCAAAACTGTGATGTAACACGGGCTCCAGAATCCGATTGGGTCGAATGGCATGTGAACCTGTTTTAGTCACCGGAAACCATAGGAATGCAGCTAATAACGCTTCTCCGCTGCCTTTTGGGTCCCCCCCCCCACTCCAAAGCCCAGAAAGTGGTCCCTTAATACAACCACCTGCTTTACTTCAGGTGTCTGGGAAGTGTGCCTCATCCCTCGCATGTCTTAGTACCCATAATATACGAAGTTTGTGTTTCAAATAAATTAAACAACGACCATAATGTACAGTTATCATTGTACACAAAACTAAATAGAACAACAAAGATAATTAATATGCACAAATGGTTACACTTACATTCTAGACCCCATATTTTCATCGGAATAAATATCACTATTATTAGTATCAATAATTTCAGAGAAAACAGGTTTAATTTGAATGCCTAAATTTTCACCACGTTTTGTATTCACTAGCCGAATAAGTATAGTATCTTTAGTGTTCAGTGATTCCTGAGATTTATTCATTGAAAGTGAATCATTTCCATTGAATGATATCTTTTCAGATTTATCATAATTTCGTTGTTTTTGTCGATCAGTAGAAATTGAATCAGATTGATTTAATGATCCAGAGGATGAAAGATGTGATAAATTTGATTTACTATCTGTTGTACAATTCATAGTAGCATCTCGTGTATCTTCAAGCCAACGAAGAACATCTGGTGTAGGTAAGCCACGACTAGATCGATGTGTTATAAACGATGAATTATCATTTGAATGTATATGGAAATCAGATAAACGTATCAACTCATCTGAATTAGTATTACATTCACTAGCTGTATTTACATGTAATGTAGGAAATTGTTTTTCTGATGTTTTTTGGTCCTTTCTGAAAAACACAGATAGTAACAAAAGAAAAACAAGTAGGTTAAGATGAAAGACTGTAATCCCTTTAGGTATGACAAAATATGAATGATACAGTTTAATTATTTGAATACATGAGTTTTATGAATTAAACTATGAAGTACATATATTGTGTAACAGATTGTGACATCATAGAATTCCTCATTGAGACAGGATTCGGACACACGACCCAACGACTAACAGCCGAATCCTTGAGCTGATAAAATGCACTACCACCCTGCAATCTTCTTTTCACTTAAAGAAATGTCTACTCATAAAACTACCTTCAAACTCTATATGTAGAACCAGACGATTATAATACAGTATAACTTCATAAGAGCTTCAAAGTTAAAACTTTAAACTTAACGCTTTAATCTAAAAAACAGTCCATATATTCATAACTAATATGGAAAGAGAATTGAATGAAATATTGACTGACTGTAGTAGTCCGAATGTAGACGACTTTTATCTTTCTATTGAAACATGTGAAGAATAAGGAAAAAAGAAAGCTGTTCTATGAGCACTCTTGCTTATGCGGCATAGGAATCTAGGTAATTAATGTCTGGAGATCTACTGCAGGAAGAATAAAGAATAAGATTCGGATTTTAAACACCAATATCAAGTCACTGCTTCTCTATGGTTCAGAGATTTGGTGTGTCACCGAAAGCATTTCAGACAAGCTTTAGACTTTTATCAACAGGTGTCTTCTCTGGCTCTATACGGAAGGTCAGATGGCCAGAAAGGGTTAGAAACGAGGAACTCTGGGAACGAACCAACCAAGAACCTATTACTCCAAAAATTTGCCAAAGAAAGGACAAACGCGTGCGAGCCAGACCCTAGAGTGGAAGCCAAATGGGAAACGAGTTGGTCGTTCAAGAGTGATTTGGAGGAGATCGCGTGGGGAGATGACAACTTATGGGCAATAATAGAGCCACCTGCAGATGACTTCAGGAAACAAGATGAAATGAAGATGTTTGTTGAAGCGCTCTGTTTCGATGGGAACCTAAGGGAGCAGTAAAAATAATAAGTGCTGGTGTGATATTATACCAGTTGCCTTATATCACTCATGACAGCCTAAACCTGGAAGTAGTCGAAGCGAGCGGGAGAATATTCAGTTGTTGCCATATCAATTACCTGATGACAGATAGTTGTGTTTGTGAAGCATCTGTTGTTACAGTGCTCGGAATCATGATTAGTGGTAAGCATACAGCAACTTTTTGATATTTTTTCTACTATCAAACGAAATATGAAGTAATGAATATTCGTATGAATACACTCAGTGAAAATGTTTCTGTTCACTCTGTCATCTTTTAACTGTTTGTTTTCCTTTTTCCTTATATTCTTTACAGCATAACGGATTTCTTGAATCTGTCAATTGTTAACAATTGTATAAGAACAGAACTATGCAGTAACGAAGGAATCATCTGAGACAGTGGCAACAATAACGGCTAAGGAAAAAGGTTGTGTTAACTGAGGAAACCATCAAGTGACATCACTAGACAAGCCATTGCTCGAGTGGAACCCGAAAGGGAAGCGGCGAGTTGGTCATACAAGGGTGACTTGGAGGAGGTCGTGAGAAGAGGAGATGAAAGCGTGTGGGCAGACTTGGAACCAGGTGAAAACGTTGGCAGAGGACCGAAGGCAATGGAAACGCGCGGCTGAAGTGCTGTGTTCCTCTAGGAATTAACAGAAATAATAATAACTGTTAAAGCACAACTGTTCTGTCTCTGTGTGAAAGTTCGACTCCTAAAAGACGAGTGAGTTTAGGTGAATTACAATAATTGCGAAAGGAAACAGAATTGCCAAATTTGTCTGGAAGACAGTCTATTTGTGAAGCTTCTGAATATTTATTACGTAATACTGGAGTATTTAAGAGAGGAAGTGAATAACTTATGTTTCTTTCAAATAGATGACAAAAACTCTTCTATGAGAACACCTATGTTCAAATTGGAGATTCTTATTGAAAGGAAATTGTAAAGTATGTAAATAAGTGATAAAGGAACATAATTAATAAAAAAAAGACAGAACCTATTTATTGACTTGTAATCAAGTTTATGTGCGTCGGTGGCACAGTAGTAGAATGCTCTCCAACCACGCATGTAGTTCAGGGTTCGATCCTCGGACCATGCACTCCTGAACCTCACTAAACCAATAATAAGACTGGTGAAGAAGGAAGGTTGGGTATGAGGTTAGCAACCCCACCCCGTAAAAATAAACACCACCGCTACCAAAACTTCCAAGCTTTAGCTTGAACCCTTATGTTCCACTGGGAACGTTAAGGAATGATAACAAAAATTCTTGACACCTACGCCGTGCCAAGTCTGTGTCTAAAAAAGAATATTAATAATACCAAGGTACATTTTACTAGGCGGAATCCAAAACCCTTATGAGACAAATGGCTCACTGATAACTGTATGAATTGAATTACGGGCGGCTACACGTAAAATCATGTTTACCTTTATTTTAAAAAAAACAAATCACTTTACAAAAGGAAACTATGCAAACCACGATTGAAAACCTACTCTAAAATATAGTCTTTTCGTAAAAGAGGATAGTCTTCTTCAACGGTATCATTAATGTCCACATTATCATTAGGCATGGATATATTTGTAGACTGTAACAATTTATCAATAGGCAGATGTGTTTTATTTTCAGATGCATTTGGAAGTCTTCTTTCAGAATCAATAGAATATTCTTCTTCCTCTTCAACTATAGTTGGTACACTTAAATTGGCTTGAAATGCTGCTCCTAAACGTGCTATCGGTCGAGAACATGATCCATTGACAGGACGATTTGGTGAAATTAAAGGTTTTGGCGAGTTATTGGTGCATACAAGATGAGGGGGATCTAAAAGGGAATATATGAATAGAATATCACATCGTCAGTATACACAGAGATGGCAGACAAAATCATCAAGAGAGGATATTGATTGCAACACACTAAAGCAGATATCACCATTGACATCAGGTGAAATAATGAATCAAAGTGACTGACTGACCGATCTCAACGTAGAACTTTGCACAGATGTGCAACAGTTTGAGCTGCCACACTCCACGTGCCATACAAAGCAAGAGAAGACAGATAATAAACAGTAATATGAGGCAAAAAGAATATCAATATGGAAGAACAGCAGAATTTTATCGAGTGTTATATATCACAAAGGGTGAATGTATCTGCACCACTGACAACGATTTTGAACCGTATCACTAATTATCCCCAGTCATTGGTTTTAACCATCCCAAGGACCCCAACTAGTTAGGAAGTCTACACCTCCCTACATGACTGGGTTAAATTAACTACTGTGGATTTCATTGACTGATTTCATGTTCTGGTTTAACGACCACTGGCTCTCTTCCAACCTGATCCTATACCTGTCAAGCTAACATTACCCGTCAAGGAAGTTGATAGCTAGTCTAGCATGAGTAACACATGTCCTAACCATCTTACCTAGGATTATATCACCTGCATATTCTAAGTCAACGATATTATTTCTTGATGATAGCAAGTCAATCCCCGAGTCACTGAAGTCAGTTGGGGTTAAGTCCGTTAGTACATCTGTGGTGAAATTAAATAGAAATGGAGACAGTGGGCATCCCTGATGGACACCATTGGTTGTCACCACTTCAGAATCAAAAGGTCTATTTTAAGGAAGAGACCTGATTCCCACTAGAGTAGTATGTGAAGTATTCTAAAAAATTACATAAATGGCATACAGTTCTTAGATCCAAATGAGTAGTTTGATCTGCTGGAAGACCAATGCGAATTGGAAATAAAATCCATGTATCTATTAGTAATTTATTATATTTGTCCGACTAATATTTCTTATCCTATGCCCTAATTATCTTATTGATCCCTCTCTACTAGACAGACCTATGTAGTTGACCTTCCCAGTTATTGTAAGATATCTTATATTACTTTGTTTAACCGGGTCAAAACAGTTCTTTATCCAACAGAGCCTATCCCTGAGTGACTTTATAGGTTTACATACCCCACCCTAATTTCTGCTTTATTTAGAATCTAACATAGGGTTTTAGATATCCCTTTCTTATACGGTAAAACTGTAGATGCCTTAAATTCCTACTTATTTATGTTATGGTTAATAATTTCACTGCTACTTCCTTCTTTTTATGGCTTTTTGATCGTTCTATTGGGTATTATGGATACTTATGTAGCACCAATGATTCTGTTTTTGATTTCAATACACAAACCTTCTAACGTACTAGTTTTAACTATAGCTCGTGGGTTGGTTATCCCCTTAACTAAGCCTGCCTTTACAAATAATAGATGAATTGACCTATAGTCTAATTACCTACTAGAGTGCGACGACTTTTTATAAGCATTGGTAAACAACTTCCCCTATTCTGTACACTATATTTCACAATCTAACGTAGCTAATTCCCTTTGTTTATTTCCTAACTCAAGTATAAATTTCATTCTCTCTACTTACGAGTTTATGAGCATGATGAAATTAGAGATATGTCCTGTTTTTCTGACACTGCGAAAGTATCATCCACATACCCTTATCATGCTTTTCGGGCAGAATTAAATGTTTTAAGAGCCATATTTTCCTAATTGTCTATGAAGATATCTGCTACAACTGGGGATATTAGCGATCCTATTGGTAGCCCCCTTCCGTTTGTCTATATATTCTGCCCTAGAATTTGAAGATAACAGATGTGGGACATAAATGAATCCCTAGAATAGTTTCCTCGAGTGGGTAGCTATGTACTATGAATGAATTCAAGATCAGCAGTTAGTTCTGTCCTAACAAATGGCGCCATATCGATTGGTATGTTAGTATAAAGGCTAATTATTTAAAAACTATTTTTCAACATTAGGTAGACGATAAAATGCATGAAATAAAATTCAAATTAATACTGAAGTTTTCTTAAACAAGCATAGTGTCTACTACTAAACGTGATATTCTGAAGACTTCTTTACACAACTAATACGTTAAGCGGCATAGCGCTTTTCTAATTGCAAATTTAAGAATACATACGAATAAAAAAGTGATACAAATACTAAAGATGTACTGCAACTAAAAAATACCTTACATCACAGTGTGGCTCCTAAAAACATTTACCTTTACCCTATCTATATACGTTTATAACTTGTGTTTATTATTTTTATTATGATTATTCCCTTGGGTTCCGAGTGGAAAGACTTCAGCAACACATCTACACTTTCTTCTATTTTCTGCCACCCTCTTCAGCTGGGTCCACGATTGTCCATAATCTCTTATTTCTTCGTCACGCGATCTCCTCCATGTCACCCTCGTTACTGACGACCCACTCGTCGTTTCCCCTTCGGATTTCACTTGAGCAATGACCTGCACTGAGCGCGATGTCGTTCGGTGGTCTCCTCAATGTATGCCCAATCCATCTGTTTTTCCTCCTACATATTTGCTGAACATTCGGCTTTTGGTTGGTTTGTTCCACTGCAGAGTTTCTTGTTGCTAATTCTTTCTGGCCTGCTGGCCACTTGATCTCCAGTATTTGTTTTTTGATTTACAGCTTGATTCCACACTGTATTTTCGGTACAAGTACGGAATTTTCAGCATGGATATCGGTAGCCCAAATTTCGCAGGCCGACCATAGATATCAGATGTGCGTCGGTGCGGGCTCGAACCCCGGACCATGTGCATGGTCGGCGAGAGTCCTATGGAGGAGGAGAAAGCAGTAGTTGATAAAAGTCTGTAACAGGCGGTTGCAAATCCTTTTCGTGAATCGCTGGTAAAGTTTGTGACCCGTATAGAAGCACCAACTTGATATTGGTATTGAAAATCCTTGTGCTGGCTGACTGCAGAAGATATCCAAACTGGTTTCAGGCTGATGATGAAGGCGTATCTTGCCTTGTGTAGATATAACGAAAACAAACTCACATTAACTAATTATCTTTTTACATGAAGAAAAAGGGAAATTATGTATAAACTTACTGAATTGTACAAAATTAGGTATGTTATCTATTTTCGGTTGATTTAAACAACTGTTAATTGTACTATTTGTTGTTATAGAAGTATTTGATAAATCTTGTATATTAGGTTGTTGAATAACACCTTCACAGGGTGTTATTAGATTAGGCTGATATGAAAGAGAAAAAGAATAATAGTAGTAATAATAATGATAAGATCACAAAACAACGAAATATTCAAAATGATTGAAAATGCCCATTAAAATGTTTTTTTCCGAAAGAATGTTTCCTGAAAATAGAGTGTACTTTTCGAATAACACCTTCTTCATCAGGTCCTACAGTTATACATACATAATAGTGAATGAATTAGTGTTATTAGCAACATTAATGGTGTTTAAATAACATCAAATCAATAAAAATACCAATAGATTACATTTCGATAGCATCAACATAACAATACACTTATAATCAGAAAAAAAAATTATGGAAAATAATAGTGTAACAACAGAAGACTAGGGCCAGGCAACAGATCGTTTACTATGGAAATCAAGACATATTTATAGATTTCCATGTACATATTATAGATTATTGTTAGCAGAAAACACAGTCTTCTGATTGATTGTTTCTCACTGAAAGTTGATCTTTCATCTCTTTGTGGCTGTTTCTTGAATGTCAGAACATCTATCTGCAAATTGTATCCGCCTACGCAAAGTCTTTGTTCTCATTTTTCTCACGACCAATATTGGGGACATAGACATTGACGTAAATTACTGTCCACCAATTTTGACCAACAGCCAGCTCTCACCACAATAGTACAAACTCATGAATTTATAGTCACTACTGAAGACAAGAGCAGAGGTAGTAGTGGCTGGCTGGATTAGCTTCTTCTACACACAGAGCACCGGTTGTTTCAGGAGAATCACGATAGCCACTGCTGTTTTGGAGTATGCGGTACCTGGGTGTTTTTGACACTTTGTTTGGTACTTGATAGATGATGGAGACGGACTCTTCAATATTAGCTTTGTGGCAGGTTTGGACCAGGTTTTCATGAACTTGTATTATTATCTTTCCTAATTTTTCTGATACTCAGTGTATTGTTATGTTGATACTATTGAACTGTAATCCAATGGTATTACTATTATTATTATTGATTCGATGTTATTTAAACGATATTAATGCTGCTAATAGCATTAATTCATTCACTCACTATTATGTATACGTAACTGTAGAAGCTGATGAAGAGCAGGTTATCAAAAAGAATATTTTTTGTTCAGTGACAATTCAAAATGAATTGAAATTCCTTGTGAAAGATTATAAAATAACTTTCTTTGATTTTGAACACATGACTACAAATCAACAGTTAACCAGCCCTGTTTTACTACTTTTCACTTTCAGTTTTATTACTACTAAAACCAATCAGCACTGTCCATTTATATCACACTTAGAAACTGTTACGCTAAATATTAGATTCTACACAATTTTATTGAGAGTTTCTATTGCTTAATTTTAACTCACTTATTGGTTTTAGGCGCTGGATTTTTAATCAGCCAATCAGAAGCTTGTACGTCTACTCAGCTACAGAGATTCAGAAAACTATAAGCTATGTTTAGCTCACCTTTAAATGCAAGTGGTTGATTATGAACAATCAATTCTAATATTTATAATATTTGTGATGAAATTTAACCAACTGAATCAATTGAATTGCAGCTTAACTATCTAACCGATTATTAGTTATATTACTTGTATACGGTTTTACAATACTCCAGTGCTGTCCAAGTGGACTGCAGTTTGAACTTATGATATGATAATTCATTGACATAAAACTGTATCTGAAGTAACCAAATTAAATTTTACTAGAATAAGTTTTATGAAAATGTGTGTAGAGTGGAGACGAGTGAGTCTAGATATTGACAATCACGCATTCCAAAACGTCATTTTAACTAATACGAATTTGGGTGACCAGGCGGTATCATTAGTGCAGTAAAAGAGCATTTTAGATGGTGTACCAGTCATACCCGACCGAAAGCTGCTACCTTGACGTGGTGGTCGGGCTTGAACACCGCAATGATCTATTCAAGCTATACTGGCTGAGACTTATGTCTCTTGAGGTACTACCATGCCAGGCAGGTTGTTTGGATAGCGGTTAAACAAAAAGCAGCTACCCAATCCAACATCATGTCCAATACAAAATTACAAAATTTCATGCCGGATCGGCCGTGGCCCGGATTAACAACGACCGCGCTTCCTGCTGCCGTGTCACAGGGCAGGAGTGATAAATATGCTACTGAGACACACCAAACAAAAAGAACAAACAAAAACAGGCCGCGTGTGACCGGCCTCAAGCAGTTGTCCCCTGGGCTCTGCGGTCACGCAACCAACTTCCACGGTGTGGGCAGCCGGGAAGTAACAATCGCCCTCACAATCCGAAATGCACACGAAACCTCTCTATTACTCACTCATCTTTGTCTTCATCTTCATCTCTATCATCTTGCCTTCCTTCCACTGATGCAACTCCTCGACTTGATAGCTCTCCACTTCCTCTCCACTCTGCGTCCACTAAAAACGATGGAAGCCAAAAAACCACCACCGACAGCCTCTTAAAGCCGCGCCACCAATTTCATATAGGAGCTCTTAATGTTAGGACACTTTGCCAAATAGGACAACAAGCATCACTAGCCAAGACCCTGGCATCACGAGCCATTGATGTATGCTGTGTTTCAGAAACACGCATACAAGACCCAAGTGTGGTTATTCACCTAACCCCACCTGGCCAACAGGTTGAATCTGCAAAATTCACCTTGAGGGTGTCAGGAGATGCCACAGCTAGTTCACGAGGATTAGCTGGCGTAGGGATAGCTTTGAGTACTAGGGCAGAAAAGACATTGCTTGACTGGATCCCGGTAGATAGCCGAATGTGTGCTGTCCGTCTGAACGGATCAGTAAGAAGGAGAAAGGACTGCACTACTCGCCGATGCCTTTTCGTAATCTCCGCCTACGCCCCCACTGACTGCAGTTCAGATGAAACGAAGGATGAGTTCTACCAAAAGCTGTCTAGTTTGGTGGAAAGGCTAAACGCTCAGACATAGTCGTTCTAGCTGGTGACTTTAACGCTCAAGTAGGGAAATTGTGTCAATCTGAGAAGGATGTCGGTGGCACCTATGGAGCTCCGTGCCAGCGAACCGACAACGGTGACCGTCTCCTACAGTTCTGCTCTGATAATCATTTGTTTCTTGTAAGCACTAACTTTAAACACAAGGAGAGACACTGTTTGACTTGGAGACCCCCTTCATCAAACCAACGCTGGACACAAATAGACCACATAGCAATAAGCTATCGTTGGCGTGGGTCGGTAGGAGATTGTCGCTCCTTCTGGAACACGTGCGTAGATACCGACCATGCACTGGTCCGCGCTCGGGTGTGCTTACGACTGAACGGACGTAGGAAACAGCTGGCGGTAAAACCATCACGTCCCCAGCTCGATCAGGAAACTAAATCCGTATTTCAGGAAGAACTAGCTAAACACATATCTGTGTTCGACAGCTGTGCTCACCCTGAAGAAGCTTGGAAAAATATCCAGGCAGCCATAGATACAGCTGTAAAAGCTGTGAATAAGGTAAACCCAAAGGTGAGTAAAAACCACTGGATCTCCACCGCCTCATCCGAACTGATAGATGCTAGAAGACTTATTCCGGCGAGCTCCGAATTCAATGAGGAGCGAAAGCTGCACAAGAGGAAACTTACGAAAAGTCTCCGCAAGGACCGTGAACAGTGGTGGGCGACAAAAGCCAAAGAGATGGAGAAAGCTTCGAGGATAGGCAACACCAGGCAACTCTTTGGACTCATCAGGGAAACGGGTGGGAGAAGACAAATCATCAGTGAGACAATCTCGGAAAAAAATGGCACTATAATTAGCTCCCAGGATAGACGACTGGATCGTTGGAAAGAGCATTATGAGGAGCAGTTTAATTTGCCCACAGCCACGCTCAACCTTCCGAGCATCCAACACCTCCCTGAATGGGATATAAACACAGGTCCTCCGTCACTAACTGAGGTTACTAAAGCTGTCACCAATCTGAAACTAGGCAAAGCAGCGGGACCTGATGGAATGACTCCAGAGGTATTTAAGTACGGTGGAGACAGCTTACTGTCCGCATTAACTGAGGTACTAGGCAGCGTCTGGGAATCAGAAGAAGTCCCATCGGGTTGGTGTAAGTCACTGATTATCCCCATATACAAGAAGGGAGACAAGTCTTCCTGTGATAATCACAGAGGGATTAGCTTGACTAATATAGTATCTAAAGTCTTAGGCTCAATAATCATGCGTAGACTGAGTGGTGCTCGGGAAGCACAAACACGAGAGAGCCAGGCAGGCTTTAGACCAGGAAGAGGGTGTATTGATCATATCTTCACCCTCCGACAGATTCTAGAACATAGGCATTCCTACCGGCGTCCAACAGTCATTATATTTCTTGACCTAAAGGCAGCATTCGACTCTGTCGATCGGGAAGTTCTCTGGAGATGCTTGGCTGTAAAGGGAATTCCAAGAAAATATATTGCACTGATTAAGGCACTCTACTCGTACTCATACAGCCAGGTGAGGGCTTACGGCGAGCTGTCATCTGAACTGATGACGACCAGTGGTGTCCGTCAAGGATGCCCATTATCCCCTTTCCTATTCAACTTCATCATAGATGTGTTAATGGACTTAACCCTAGGTGACTTCAGCGACTCAGGGATTGACTTGCTACCGGGAATAATCTCGTTGACTTGGAATATGCAGACGATATAGTCCTTCTAGGCGAAGACGCTGACGAAATGCAGAGTCTTCTAAACACCTTGACCCGCAATCTACGAATGTTTGGCATGCGATTCGCTCCCGCCAAATGCAAGATGATGTTACAGGACTGGACTACATCGACGCCTAGTTTAAAAATAGGAAGTGAAGTGGTAGAGCACGTTGACCGCTTCACTTATTTGGGAAGTACCATCAGCCCCAACGGGCTGATCTCTGACGAAATCTCAGCACGAATACAAGGGGCTCGTTTCGCATTTGCCAGTTTACGCCGACTCTGGCGTAGACGAGATGTTCGACTATCGACCAAAGGGCGGGTGTACTGCTCATCAGTCCGCTCCTTCGTCCTTTATGGCTGTGAGACCTGGCCACTGAGAGTGGAAGACATGAAAAGACTAGCTGTCTTTGATCATAGGTGCGCAGATGCATCCACTCCCTGTGACTTATGATCTCCAATGAAACTGTTTTGTTATTCTTTATTCTCCTTTGTCTCACACCTCTTATCACTGTTTCTATTATGCTTTTCTTGTACTTTCTTCTCTTGCTTCGCGTGCTACACGGAATGTGGCGACTTGAACTTCCGCACATTTGTGCAAAGTTCTATGTCGAAAACAGACAGACAGACAGATCATAGGTGCCTGCGCTCTATTTCCCGTGTAAAGTGGCATAATAAGGTGAGCAACATTGAAGTTAGGCGTCGACTTCTAGGTAAACAGGGGAAATCAATCGACGAAGTCGTGAAGTTACAAAGACTGAGATGGTTAGGACATGTGTTACGTATGCCAATTCATCGCCTTCCTCGACTGACGGGCAATGTTAGCGGATATAGGGTCAGGCTGGAAAAAAGCTAGCGGCGGTCAAACAAAAACTTGTCACCAGTCAATGAAATCCACAACAGTTGGTCTAAGCCACATAGAAAGGTGTGGACTTCCAGGCTGGGGTCCTCGGGACAGTAAAAATCTATGGTTGGAAACAATTGGTTACATGGCTCAAAATCGTTCTCAGTGGCGCAGATGTATCCACTCCTTGTGATTTATGATTTCCAATGAAACTTTTTGGTTCTTCGTTATTACTCCTTTGTCTCACACCTCTGCTCAATGTCTCTATTATGCTTTTCTTGTACTTTCTTCTCTTGCTTCGCGTGCTACACGGAGTGTGGCGACTCGAACTTCCGCACATTTGTGCAAAGTTCTATGTCGAAAACAGACAGACAGTTGCAAAAGAGGTGGCTCTCATGGCCCAGGTGGTCTAATAGATAATGCTTTGGCGTCTGAAACTATGGGCACTAGGTTCGAGCCTAGATGGGAACACCAACACTTACTGAGGGACATCCAGGTACATTCAAATAACGAGTCCCAAATAGGAGGAAATACGCATCCTGGATTTCACTGCTAGTCACTATCCACCAATTCATTTCCAATAAAGTTTACATGATTCAAATAACTAATATGAGTCGACCTAGCGTCTGATGATTTCGGACAATATGAGTAGAATCTAATTATAGTAGGGCGAATTTATTGGGTGTTTAACGGATTTTTTTTAATCAAGGACATTTCATTCACCTCTGTCTATAATTATTCTTTTGCCAATGATTAGAACAAAAGATTAAAATCAAAGTTAATGAAAGATATTCTTGCAATCTATAAAACAACAGAAATAAAAATCGAAAACTCACCTGAGCGTAACTAAGATTTGGAATTTGTGTTGATGAGTTATTGAATGAAGTAGATCCTAAATCACAAACAGATGTACAATCCAACTGTTCTGAAGTTCCAAAAGTTCTTGTGAATTCATCGAGTGATGAAGAAGAATTTTGACTCTGAACTGCACGTATAAGTCGTTCAGTATTTATGCCAATATGATATTCATCCAGTGGAGAATATGACCTTTGCTGATGTTTCCTGACAGATGCATCAATATGTTCACTGTCAGACGGACAAAGAGTTGGAAGAGGCGGAGGGGGGGGGGAAGGCAATGGCCAAATATCTGCATTAAACGGAGCAGATTGAGCACCTAATTTTTCACAAGATATGTTTGGTGTATTAACTGTCGGTTGATGTTGTACAATTGAGAAGTTATTATTTGTATGCACATGAAGTTGACTACTATTATTATTGTTATTATTATCATTGATGCTCTCTGAACAATGCCGGTTTCCTATTGATAACGACGAATTGAGTGTTAAATCGCAACTGTTGTGTTTTACACCTGAATGAACAACTGCATCAATTTTGGGTGACGAGGGTAATCCATTTGTTTGCTCTGCAAGTTGACCATCACATGAATAACCTCCATCGGGATCGCCTAAATCTTCATCTTCATCATCAGAATCCCAACCCGATTCAATAAGATCACGACGGCGAGATAAAACGTTTGAGAGCTTAAAAGGAAAGGAAATAGAATATAAAATGTAATTTATATATATAATATACAAGAAAACTAAACAAGCTATGCATCATCCTACAACTTAATTAGTGCTGAAATGGAAAAAGAAGTTTGCACTATTATTAGATCAAACCCTGACCTTAGCGAGTCCCCAACTGAAATGTGAGCGTAAAGTGAAGCAATTCCTAACAACCAGTTTTGTATCTGACACAAGTCGTTGTCGCTGGCTTATGAGTCCCATCTAACGTGAAATACCCGAATATCTAGGACAAAGCCGCTAACCTGTTGAGCCGTGCGCTGAATTATTACCGCATATTTACACAGAAGTGCAGCTCATTAGCTCAAATAATTAACTTCAATCTGATAGGTCTAGCATGAAATCCAAGTTTCCTATTGACAAGGTTTATATCTTTAATACACAAAATTACAAACCACTTAGGTTGTATCAAGATAAGATTATCTAAGTAAACTCTGATATATCAAGTAATGTTTACACCCAGAGGCTGAAAATTGCGTAAAAGATAGCGACTGTGGAGTTAAAGAACGCATAACTTGAAATTCGTACCACTGTGCCATATGATAATACTTTTAGTCCTTTCCAAAATTCTACCATAAATATATGTTCACTTATCTATGATCCTCCTAAATTCATCTTAACAACATCCTGACAACTGTTGCTCTCACTACGTCCTATGAAGCGTGACACTGTAAGTGAATGGCACCGTCATGCAAGACATCTTTTGGTTATCGAAAACCTTGCTTTAAAAAACTAAACCATCCTTAAATATGCGAATATTACATTTTTCAGTATAAATATTGACTCACGATCAAAATTATGAGAACTATTATAGAACTCAGTGAACTGAGCAAAAGTAAATGCCACAACAAAAGCATACAATGCATCTGTCAATTAAGTAAAGATTTATATACTAAGCCACGTTTATTGTCAGTGCGTCGGTGGCACAGCGGTTAGGACTATCTTCAACCATGCACATGGTCCGGGGTTCGATCCCCTGCCGACGCACACCTGATATCAATGGTCGGCCTGCAGAATTTGGGCTACCAATATCACATGCTGAAAATTCCATACTTGTACGAAAAATACGTTGTGGAATGAAGCTGAACAACAACAAACATCTGAACCCCTGTAAATGCAATGAAATAACCGTCAAAATCATGGGAGATAAATCATTAAGTATACAAAAAAACGTTGTGAACATCGATGTGCTATACTAAATTCAGTCATTATATGAGGCAAATAGATACCTAAATAGAATAAGTTTTAGCAGTTTTACAACAGCAACAAAAAACCAGAATACTTTTCACTAATGAAGGAAAATGAATAAAACATATATATCACAGAAAACCAACCATTTCGACAACGTTTGGTGGAAATGTTGTTTTCGGCGATTGATGTGTATTTGTAGTATTATTATCAATAATTTTACTATTATTACAAGGAATACTGCATGGAACCATTAGATTCTTTGGATGTTCACATGTATTAGACGATGGATTGCAGCAAACAGATGTTGACTGGGATGGTGAATGTGTTGTAAGCGAGGGGAAACACTGTCTTCGATTATCAGAAGACGATGTTGTAATACAATTCGAATTATTACTGGAATCTATAAAACAAACAAAATATTTAAATGGTATGCTCATAAAACTAAAACAATACAGTAATCTAAGTAATAAAATTGAAATATACCTTCACACTGTGATAGAATAAGATAATATGGTGAAACGGCGGACTTGTTTTAGATCACAAAAGGGATAAACAGAAATGGTGATAGAAGAACTACGCGTATTTAAGTCGACGAAGTGTTTGCAACCAAGGCGATAACTAACAACTTCTAATTTTTGGACCGACCCCTGGTGATGTCATTGGTGTGCACTGTTGAGGAGCTTTAAGCTGGTGGGAAACAACCGTCCAGTGAGTTTGCTTTATCAACACTTCTTTAACTGATGCCGGTTCTTGACGAAATTTGCATTATTTCATCATTAGCTGTCCGTATGCTATTAAGTTGCATAGACCCAGGTGCCGACGGAGGCGTTTGGGAAAAGCATATTATTCATATGGTCATCTTACAGAGTTATTTTTCCGTGGTTAACAAAAAACAGGTAAAATAAAAGTGCTCCGTATTTATTATCTATTTAGGGCTACAAAGGTAGCTACTTTCAAAAAAACATGTTCTGGAGAAAAAACTTTTAAGACATGTTGCTCAACAAATATGTAGGAGAAAATGGAGATGGATCAACATACGTTGAGGAGGCTGTTGAATGACATTGAGCTCAATACAGGTCATCGCTCAAGTGGAATTCAAATGGGAAGCGACGAGTGGGTAGCTCCTCGGTTGACCTGGGGGAGATGATAGATTATGGGCAATCGTGAACCCAGATGAAGAGGACAGCAGAAAACAGAAGAAAATGGAGATGTGTTGTTAGAGCCCTATGTTCTACTCAGAACCCAAGGGAATAATAAGTAATATTACCAGTTCGTTACTTATTACACAGTAGCTGGTAAGCATAAAAACTGAGCCACAGCACTGGAAGTGGCATTGAAGAGGAGTTCAGAATTTTAGATATTACGTAATTTCTCAGAATGAAAAGCTTACCAATTTCAGATACTGAGTCGAAAAAAATCCTATACCACAAGCACAATTAGAAACCCTTAAGCATCATTGAACAATTTAACATGTTTAATTTCCTTATGATCACGCAAAATATTACTTAAATTATACAATCAGCAAGTTTAACAAAGACTTACGAATTCCTGAACTAGAATCCTTAAATGAATCGTTATTTAGAAGCCATTCATGAGAATCGCATGTAAAGTGAGACGTTTGTATTCCACTTTGCTGATGCATTCCACAACTGTCATTACTTAAATTCAAGCTCAAGTTACTACTGCTTGTACTCCTGTCACCAACACGCAAAATTCTGTTCGCAATATGACCATTTGTATCGGTTTGTTCTAATCCAGAATCACAAACAGAAGCAAAATTTGTCACATTATCTCCAGTTCCCCTAACACCATTTGGCTGTAAAGTACTACGAAGTGAAGGTCCAGTACCATTATCAGAACATAAGTCAATGACTAAAGGCGTGGAAAGCGTTGGAAATATAGAATCGACACCAGCCGTAGACCGGAATGGACAGGAATCTATGGGATTGTTTGCCAAAGTAGCAATTGAAAAGTGAGCAGTAACCTAAAATGTAAGAAAAAATATACATATATCATACTCATCTCACAGTGAATAGTTTACCAAACTATTCACAAACTAGATACGACAATATGGGACCTAAGTAGAAGTTAGATTGTCATTGGTTAAATCAGAACAAACACATAGAAACTGAAAGAAAACAGTGACGACCTGTGGGGAAAAAACAGAGAATGAATCGACCAGAAACTCACATAAGTCAGTGGTCTAAAATGCTATACATGAAAGACAGCAACACAGAGCAGTAAACTCTCCTTTGAATATTTTTGATAAGTATGTTTAATTGTTTTCGTAGTGCTGTCTATCTATTATTCTATTTCTCTTTTTATTATCTTGTTGTTTAATTGCGTCTTTCCGGTGCATCTTCTGATGCCCATAGTATACTAATTTAGTGTTTCAAATGGTTGAAAAGGAAGAGAATTCATAGTTATATGAAATCAATAAAAGTGCTATAACAAAAATATAAACAAATGAAAAATATTTAGTCCCTTAAAAGATTACAGATAGTACAAAGAGGATGCGCCTGAACCGAAATGAGCAGTTTCCGGAAAAAATTCAGATGTATCACCTATAACTTTATAACATCTTACGAAGCTCAGCTAATTTTCTACACTTCCATGAAACGCACAGATTAACTACTTTTGCCTATAAACTATAATGTGTTTGGACAAGATACATTTAGAATAAACTGATTGTATATCTGGTTTAGAAGTAAATAATAGCAGTGATAAAGGGCTTAGCATTTCTGTGTAAGTGTTTGACTTGCACACCTTATATATAACTATCAATTTCTAAGTAATAAAACTGGAAATAAAGTGAAAATCATTTTTAAAAAAGTTACAGAATGTTTTTCGATGAAATCTAATTCACTTTCCCTGGTTTTTGAGCCAAATGATTAGGTGATTCTAATACCGCCATTTGGATCCCAATCAATTAATTTGCACTTCTTTATACATTTAAGTCAACAGTGAAGGACTCTACCTTACTTCAAATGAATCCGACTCCTACCAGCATTGCAAACTGAGCCAGACGACTAATGAGCTTGCGAAAAACATGTTTCATTCACCCTAAACAAAAGATATATAAAACTTCAGCAAATGACTTATTTGCTCACATTTCTTCAAGAAGTTTTTGAAGGAATTGAGAAGCGAAAGAATCATGGTAATAAAGTAGAAAGAAAAGGCTACAACTGAGAGCCTCCTTGAAACTGCTTTATATTCTAAGACGAAGCGATGACTATCCGGTATCTTTAATATAAGAATTAGTGTCAGTGTTAAAATAAGTCTGGTATCCAACAGTCTGAGGATGTCCTTGGTAGCTTATTAGCTGTGAACATAGGTGTTATGAAATGACTCGGTTTTCCACCGATAAATAAAAAGTGGACTTTAAGACAGTATCAGAGTAATATATGTCAACATACTGGGCCCGAAATGTTGAACCATGAAAGCCTCAAGTATTTCAAGTGATAAAGGAACTTATGAAAACCATTATTTCAGTAGTTTTTAATGAAGACAAATTCTTTATCATCCTTCAGATACCCTTAAAATAACACAAACATAAATCACAAAGTGGAAACTTTAGTGGTATAACTTACCATTTCACGATCGTCCAGCACATCACAAACTAAATCATCCCAATCCAGCATACCACCATCTCTTGCAACATTGATGCTGTGTACAACAACTCGATCCTGCACACCAAGCTAAAAAACAACAAATGTAGATATTATTTCCCCGTTAGAAAGCACGTTTAGATTTTTCTGTAAGAATATTAAGACATAGTGAAAATAAATTATTAAACGCTTCAAGAATTATGTATATTTTACACAAAAAACATGACTTACTTTCGGCAAAGTATGTCTGACTCTTCTCAAACCATTGAGCGTTAGATCCCTAATTGTTAGATTTCCCGACCCGCATGGAACTACGACTTTTGTGTCGCCAAAACAAACTGTCAACTTCATATTCCATTTCTAACATATACGACCTTCACAAGGACAGCTGTAATAAATGAACTCTAATGACCTACAACTTTCGGTTTTGCTTATGTTAAACAAAATCATTCGCTCTACTTATGGAAGAAGTCAGTGAAGTTATGGGACACCATTATAGGTGAAAAATACGCTAGTGGCTTCTAAATATTATGAAATACTCTGTAATCTAAACCACTTCAGGAGTGTTAGTATATCAGTTAAATCATTTAGTCCCAGTAAGTATTCTCAAAATAGCGAAAGCATTGAACAACTTGTTGTTTAAGACACAAGGGTTTTACTGATGTTAGCTGATCCCTTATTGACGAGAACTGGAAGTTATTAAATTAGTACATGCAAATTACGAGACCCATATCCACAAGGACCGATGAACCATCGACAGAAGAATGGGTGAGGATATACGTTATAACGTGGTTATATTTCCCGCGACTCAGGTTTTTTCGTCTTTCATTGGCTAGAACAGTGGCGGTCAATTGGATATTTGATTTGTCCTTTGTAGGTCGTATCGTAAGAGGTTTTGTGTGGTTGTGTTATGCGCCGTTTGCAAGCGAATTTGACAAAGATAGATGTAATTTTTGACTATTTTAACATTGTTTCACTGTTTTTTTACACAGATACACTTCTCTTTTCGCTATAAACTCCCTGGAAACTGGTCAGGCATTATGGTTCCTATCAGTGACTACCATCCCGTGGGTGCCAATGCATTTCTTGAGTTGTGTTTTTAGGTACAGTATTTCCTACTTCGTGATTTCTCACTCACATAGTCTGGTATCCTGTGTTTCTTGCGACTTAGCTGTCACAAGCTGTTGTAATAATGTGCTTCGTTAACGAGCCCTTTTTCTAGAATTTCATCGCAGGTAATCAGCGCGAGCGCAAGCAGCACATATGTAGGAAGCTACAAAAGCATTAGAAGACTTTCAAAAGGCGTGAACTTCATATATTGCTAACAGTGACGAACTTTTCCGCATACCGGTATGTGGATACGTTCACACGCGTATAGGAAATCCACGAGTGGGACATTGTATTTTAGTGGGACAGTTTTGCGAGACTTTCATCTAGCCCGTATGTTTCGGTCTAGTATTTCTGTCCCTCAGACCACTAACAAAGTATTATCAAATGCATTCTTGTAGTATGATTCGATGGCACAATTACTGGCAGTTAATAATATTATTTATGCGTAATGTTCATGATATTTTCTGCACCATTAACGTGCTCCACATTTCAAAAACAGTGTAAATTAGGAAGACTAAACTTAGCTTATACTTAACTCAAATATGTTCATGCATGTTAATTATGTAAATGCTTAATTTATGTAAGTGAATTTAGTCTGTATCACTTTCAGGAATGATGGGTCGCAATGAGGTCAGTCAGTTCATTAAATCCAGTGGAAGCAGATGTAGCTGCATTCGGACAAAGGCATCCGAAAAACAGTGATGAGCGTTTTACGACTTATAATCGGATACATTTGCATAATCAGTTTTAGAAATTGATTCTGCATACAACAAGTGGAGGTAAGTTCACTCATTCATGTATAACCATGCAGATATTCTTTTTTACAGTTTGTGATACCGGATAGATTTGCATATGGGCGTAGAGTTCTGTTTGCTTGAATTTTGGAAGAATTCAAAGGTGACGCACTTCGGACACTGGACAGTTTCCGTCGAATAATGGGAGATACTTTCCAAACGAAGACTTTCATCTTTGACTGTGCTCAGATAATACATGTAAATAAACTTGTTTGCGTTGCAGTAAAATAAAATTTTCTATCTAATATTCTTGTGCCTTTGTATTTGTTCTGCATGCGGTGGGAATACGGCATGGTAGACCGGTACTCCCTAGGATATGAACGCGTTACTGTATATAGGTGTAATTCTGTAGGAACACTATCGATCGATATAAGTAGTGAATTATAAGTACTTAAGTCAAGCCCAAAAATCTGCCTAAAGTTACGCGATTACGTCTCCTAGTCATAGGGAAGTCTGTAGGGACCAAGTACAAAAATACTTCAGTATTTGAAAAATAAGAAATGAACTTAAGCACTGCAATTGAGTCGATTTCTTATAAGGTAAAGTGTATTCAAAAGTAGTTCATTACCATTATTTCACTTAAAGCATGATGTCGATTCATATGATTATGGGTGTTAACTTACAGTGTAAGGTGAAGTGTACACGAGACGAATAATTGAATAGGTTGAGCTGTAGCAATCGGAGTCACATTTACACTACACTGAAATATGCCACCAATTACTTCGTCGGGTCTCATTGATAAGTGATGCCTGCATCTAGTCATCATGACAAATATGGGTACACTCAGAGAGAACAAGAAAGGTCTGGTAAGCATGATGTTAAATATATTTAATGGAAAATAATAACAAGTAAATGTCTTTACGCAGTTGTTTGTCGTAATAATTGGGCCAATATCGAATCGCTGTGACCGGGTTGACTGACGTTACCGGATATCTGCAAATAAGTAAACAAAGTGTTTTTTTAAATTGCTGAAGCAAGAAAGGAGTAATTTTAAGTTGAACGCTTTGCATTTGCCTACCTTTGCTGAAAATGGTTCATTCTCCTTTCTCATTCTTCGTTCATGACAGCATTCTTCTGTGGTTTTTACTGTCACACATATTGTTCATCTTCTAAAGGATAGCAGCAAGCAAATAATAATAATTAGAACAGGTTATGATAAGATTTAGATTGTAAACCCTTAACAATGAACACTGCACATTTGGTTAAGTGCTATGTCCTTGGAATGTTGGTATACATTTGCAATGTTTAATGCAAACCATATCGGTGTAAGCATAGAAAATATGACGTTTTCCATGAAAATACAGCTTTGTTCAAACACTGGTGCTGTTGTGTTTCTAATAAAGGCAACTAGACTGTAAGCAAGCAACTAATAGGCACAAAGAGTAAGTCTCAGATTTAATAAAGGCATATCCAGTTAAGATAAAATGTAGTGTAATAGTGCACAAATGAAAAGACCATCGTGAAGTAGATAAGTGATATTTCAGTGACAGGTAAATTGAAATTTCTTTTTTTTTTTTTTTTTTTTTTTTTTTTTTTTTTTTTTTTTTCTCACAAATTTCTGTAGGGCCTGTGGGGTACCATGGATGGTTTGCCGTTAATCTGAGCTTTTGAAGGATGATTTACAAATCCAAAAGGTAATAACCATCGATACTGAGGTAGTATTTCCTAGCTGTTCGGCATTTTTTCCTTTGAGGCAGTTTCTTATCAACAGTTTGCAGTATTCATAGTGAGTCTATAGGAACCTTCATTGTATCATGATTTTCACCAAATATCCCTTAACTCACAGAAGCAGGCAGTAACCCCATACACTCAAGCATTGTAACCAGAACATCACAAAATGCTTACAGATAACTTGTTTAGTAATAACTGCTTGAAATATAAGGGCTATAAGTGCATCTTTCATAGCCATAATTAAGTCATTAAGAATCTCAGAATATTTTAGTGATTTGAAACAAAATAATTATTAAGATTGATATAATCTATGTAACAGGTGTAGTAGTTGTATGACACACCTGCTAGCTACTAATCAACAGAAAGCTGATACTCATTTTAAGTACTCTGACATTTGAGAAGGACTATTTATACTATTCTTCGAGACACGATGAACACTGATGTCAATATACTCTGATGCCATTTCATGCACTGAGCAATTAAGGCCTTCTGGAATTCCATGTGCAAATGTCAATTAAACTATTATCACATCTTCACCCAAGCACTTTTAACTAGGAACTTCATCAAAATAAATATAATCACCAGGAAATTTGGCAGCCTGTCTCATTCATCGCATAATGTCGTCGATGTGTTACGGAATATTTCAGTCATCCCGGATGATAACAGAAGTGTTTGACATGTTCAAAACACACATCTAACCTATGTCTGCATGCTATTTCTCTTTCACAGGCCAGATTCTCATAGATTCACTGGAATGACAACAGCCATTGCCTGCAGTGTATTTACGACCTTAATATTTGAAACAACTTGCGAAAAACAAACCCTCAACGCACTATAATGCAAATAATACTCTTTCTATGCGAACTTTCTTCAAAAGGATGACTTCTTCATTGATAATCCGTCCGAGCTATAATATACAATTTTACGCTTTACTATGAACAAAATAATGCCGTGTGGCTCCAGAAGTCTAAAACTAGTCAAATATGATCTATTTCCCAAAAAATAGGCGATTATAACGCCTGTAGCCGTGAACGCGGTAACCGATGTCGCTGCGCGATAACACCTGGTTATAACGTATATCCTCACCCCAGAAGAATGCATTCCCTTTACTAAAACTCGCTCCATTAAATAACATGTAAATGAAGGACATTAGTTTAATCAACTAGAATGGTGCCAATGAAAGAGTCATTTTATTCATCCTTCTGCTTGGGTGAAACTTATGTGTAGACGGTTACAGTCTATAGTGTGTCGACCGAGATCATAATCATGGTAAATGCTATCTTATTCTTGTAAGCAATCTCATCGTAGTTAGTAAAACGATGAATTTCGTAGCTGATTCGCAGCAGTTCACCGTGTTTAGGGACGTATGCAAAGTTATCATAGGCTGTTTTTTCGAAAGTCACACCCAATTTTGGAAAATGTTGTGTTTTGGCAGTCATTTGCTCAGCCTTCTCTTATAATGTGAGTGGTTGCTGGGGATCCCAGTTTTACGGATACAAACTGTATATACCACCAAAGTTCCACCACTTTAATATAAAACCTGCCGCAATGAATATCTAAGGATATAAGCAACCAAATCAGGAATCTGCTTATGGTTACAGTTTGTTTGATATGACGTTCAGAAGCATCTCTCCTGTTTCTTTTAACGTAAGCTCTAGATTTTTCAGCTGCAACCGCTGAGTGACTGTTTTCCTTCCAACCCGAGGTATTCTATATTAGGCAGGTGGGGAATGCGCGATGGTCCTAGGGTTTCTTCGATACTACGAATTAGATTAC